AATGTCAAAGTTAATCTGAAATGAGGGTTTAGGAAAGCAGCCTTTTATCATGGACAGGAGTTGAAACAGGGACATCTCCCACACTAAAGTCAGCACTGGCAGGCTGCGTGTGAAGAATGTTCAGGGTCACATACATTTTTTAATGATGCAACAGTCACTCTGTCATTAGAGTTGTCATTCATTCCATGCGCTTGCAGAAAAAAATATTTTCTTTGCTCTAACTAGTTTAACAGGCGGACAGCACAGTGCAGAACAACCTCACGCGACTGTCCCAGTGTTTACAGGATTGAGAAAGAAACAGACAAACTTGTAGGCAATAATGGGGACAGTGTGGCTCGAGTTCCCGGTAATGAATTGAAGCTTATGGTTAATTCAAGCGCTAAGTTTGGTGGACTTGCAGTTTGCAAGACAGGAACTTGCTCATACTGTAGTTAATTGAACGATAAGGTTTTAATGGTACCCCGCTTCTACAATGAATCTGACAGAAAGAGCTGAAAACAATAAAGGAAATCTGTGTTTCTTATAGTACTCTCTGGTCAAAGCAAACAGCCTTGCATTGCCAGGGACAGCTCAGTGTCTCAGATGTTAACATTTATGATCACAAGTTCTCCCAGCTCCTTTTACCAGCCACAATTTTAAGGTACACTACATTCACAGTTAACTAAGCACATGCTGTTCTGGGCTGTTTCTGGGAATATCTGTTACAGATTCATGGCAAAGAACATTAAAAACATAATACCCGTCATAAACATAAGAAGAACATTTTGTACGAATTAACACATTAAGGACCAAAAACATCTTTGTTAAGCTACACACCATGAAGATTATAATTTTTAGGCTATGTGACAGTTGCACCACCAACTCTGTTTGAATGATCTTATTCTTAGTGAAAGCTAACCACAGGAATTGTTTGCAAGGTCTGCATTTCATCTAATGAGGAACTGCTTTTCAATCTAATGTAATTCATTATTTAATTAATTACCGAGCTAACATCAGAGCAACATGTCATTTTTTAAAATAAGGGCAAAAGTGATGCCTGTATCAAGTAGTATTCTAGAATAAAAATGAAAAATCAAATTTTACATATTAATACTTTCACAAGAAAGGAATGTATGTTCTCATTAGATACAGTATAACTAATGTAAATTTTATAACAAAGATATTTACTTCAGCACGTAAAGTTTAAACCAGGACCTACATTTCACAAAACCAGATAAAACATATTGATATTTCTAGTATTGCCTCATTGGAAGAATATATACAGTGTGTTGGATTGGATAGACAAATACCCTGTCAAAGGTGGTTTAAAAAGTGCTGGAAGAAACAGCAGAGTGCTGCTATATCTACTTATTGTAAGTGTTGTTAAACTGAAAATCTGCCAAACTACTAGACTGCTTAGATCAAGCATTGTTTTTTAACCCAGTTTCATTGCTACAGAAATATGTCAACATTTGCATAACAGCAAGTTAAAGAGCTAAGTTAAATGACTAAATTATCAACAGCAAGTTTACAGTCCACTAACGTCTTAAGTTTTATTATTCTGTTGTGTTATCCCTTCCATGTAGAATAAAGAAAACGAATAAAGGAGCAAAAATCTTAAAAAGACTTCAGACAGTGCTCTATCTTTAAATGCTGCAAAATGCCCTCTTTCAACAGAGTGCAGCAGGCCTAATAACAGCACTTCACATCTTTGAATATTCAAGCAAGTTCACTGGGAATTTTATTGAAGTAGCAGCTTAGAGGGACTTAATACAGTGGGAGACTCAGCTGCAGGGTAAAGTAATGGGGGCTTTTTATTTTATTGCTTCAGTAAAAGAAAATGACATTTTTAATAAAAAAGTGGCCTCAATAACCACATGCGGTTTGCGAATGTAGTGAAGAGGAATCCACTTTGCACACTTCTGAGGAGCAGTAAATGAACCAGCTGTTATTAAATTCAATGACATCTTGTTCTTTCCTGTTTGTATTTGAGGTGCTGTTGCATTTCCGCCACACGACAGTTTCTAAATTTAACTGGAATTTGAAATGTACATACCAATGCTACAATCAAAGAACAGGTAAGCTGTGATCTCCCGAAACCATCGCAAATCACCGACACCAGCAATCTGCTTAGAATTATTACAAGAAGACATAGGAATATAGAGTCAAGAAACAGAAACAAATGGAAATTCCACAGTAGGTAGGTATCAAATTAAAAATACAACACACTATTAAAATTTGTTGATGTCTTATTCCCTTGGTTTTCGGCAAACAGGTTTAGCAATGAATAGCAATGAATGCCAGCAAACCTTTTTTATATACACGGACAGTGTAATATGTTGTGCCTTGTAGTCCCATTTTCTTTTTTTCTTGCATTTTTACATTATCCAAATGATGACCACTAAAGAATTACAAAGCCTAGTAACAAAACATCACTCATGCTGTGCAACGTAATAGTAAAAACCTGAACCACTTCCTTGGAGCTCAAAAAACATTACTGACCTGGTTTCTCAAAGTTCTAGTCTCTGTGAAGTTAGCTGTGCATTGGAAGGCACTCTAAGACCAGAAACATTACAAAACAGGTCATTAGAACTAACAGGGTGCACTCATTAACCTACAATGTTCTTATGTGATTTTCTTTGTGGATTTTGTAATTGGAAATGGAATACACAGCAACTCTCATTATGTATTAGCCCAAGTGGAATTTTTTGGTCCGTCTTGAAGGAAACAGAACTATTTTCTTTACTTTTTTCTTCACTGCTGCAGGAAAAAGGTGAATCCATCAAACTATATGATGAAAACACTCTGAACCCATTAAAGATCCATTTTCATGTATCCTTTCTCCATTATTCACACTGCAAAGTGTCCATCACCCTATCCTCACAAAAGAACTATGCTGAGAATTAAGAAACTCACAAGAAATACAAACTATAATTGATAGCCAGGTAGAGTTGACATTATTTTATATGCAGAACTGACAAGTTTACAAGAAGCCTTAAACATTAACACTAGTATGAAATGCTGTATGTTTTAGTATAAGCTCCCAATGAAACGTTTGATGATTCCCAACATGAAAATGTAAAATTTCCTTTATGCAAAAGCTGTACATTGTAAAACATAGTTAATTAAATCAAAATCAAAATTTTAATTTAATTCCTCTTTTTTTGTTTTTTGTAATTTTACATCTGTGGCCAAAAGTCACAAAAGCTTGAAGCAGAGCAGAGCAGAAAACCATTATTGCTTAATGGTTGTGTTTCCACAACACAACAAAAATTCTATAAAAAGGACTATTATGATTGAAAAATCAAGAATGGAGATGCACAAAAGTTGGAAACACTTTTACCGTACTGGATAAGCTTAGTAGCAAACCATATGTCCTCATGAGCAAGACAAGAATTGGGGAAATGTTCATATTCTCCTGCATATAGAAACAGGTATTTGGAAGCACAAAATCAAGTATTCAATGCTGCTTTGGATGTTAGAGATTCCATGTGTTCAGTAGCATGAGAGGCACATGGTTTCCTTTTAAAGCACATCACATCCCCAGGAACCCTCAAAGGAGCTCCAGCGCTAAACACTACCTTGGAGCATTATCTATCATTACCGCTGTGAATCTTCTCATTGTCAATAACGGATGCCGCTATAAATTACAGGCATGTGGCAACTGTTAGTGCTAATGACATTGAGCGTTCCCTTGGGTTAAAAACCCCAGATGCACACTTGCTTAGCTCGGCAATAATATATGGAAATGTGTAGCACCGTAAACGGTACAGAGAAGTGCCCTCTGCAAGGCAGTGTGCCGAAAGAGAGGCGTTTTAAGTTACAATAATCAGGATTAATAAACCGGCAATTACATAAATGGGCATCAACTACAGAGCAGCAAGCAGCCACTTCACAAGCACTACACCACCCTGCAAACTCTGCACTCCCCATAATCCATTCAAATTCAATATCTCTAATATAATTGCTCATTTAATATTTGAATGCAGCTTTGACAAAGCCATCTATTTTCTTCCTGTAAGTGCAGTGACAAAATGCAACAATATGCTAGTCATTTCTGTGTGAGATTCCAGTTTTATGGTTGATGGTTTCTCAGAGCTGGTAGGCCGATATTAACTTCCTGCCCTGCAATAAATCAGAAACCCCGGCATGCTTATCTCTCACTGACACATAGATCCATCTCGCTTTTAATCCCACTCCATGCCATTTCATGAGAAACTGCACATCACGTGTATTTAAAATGCATTTAGACTGTTTGTGTCTAAATCAAATCCTAGGGATGAGAAATCCAGGGAACGGGCAAAAATAAAGTACATCTTACACACTTGTCCTTTACTTAACAGGCGTCACAATGTACAGTGCAAAGGACATCATGAGACCTTCCACTTTTGTTATATCAAACATAGAAACTTTGCTACCAAATCTGTACTCAATCAATGCAGTGCTCCCTAAAATGCACAGACTCACAACATTCAAATCCAGAAGTCAAGTGTTATATTTGATTGAAAATGCCAATGGAGAATGTGTTTACGATGCTTAAAGTTTGAGGAACACCCTGAGCACTGTTTACCTTTGTACACTTCTTATGAAGTGTATGATAGCTTTGTCAGAGGAAAAAGGAACACAGAAATTCAACATGCAGATAATTCCACATGTGCAAGAAACAATACAATTGGGATTGGCAAAATAATTAAAACAAGGTTCAGTTAATAAAAATTTTGTTCAACATTCCGTTACTCTAGATGGAAAAGATATGGATCCTTTTACACCCCTGCAGATTTAATTATGGTAAACAAATGTCTGAGAAATGTCTTCAGAGATTTAAAAAATGAAAATGTCACCTTCACATGTAAAAACGTGTGATTTTTTTCCCCCTTTAAAAGCTCCCTTTTGGACAAAAATCAAAGCACATTCGCGACAAGACACAAAGTAAGATTGCAAAGTACTTGAGTACAGATTGAACACAAAAAAAAAACAAAGAAAACGCCAACTCCACAGGTTTTTTTTTTTAGAATAAAAGTCAGAATTTATTCTGTTGATCTGTACATTAAACAAGAGTACCAGGATTGTAGGCTGCAGCACACCAAAAATGATGCAAAAAGGCAAAATTAGTCACACAGTGAAGTGCAACAAGCATTTGCCAGAACAGTTTGCAAATGAGGAATCCAAAGGAATGTCACTTCAGGTAAGTGCCATAAGTCTGCCTGGCTCAGTTCTACCCTCTGGTCCTGATCTGAGAAGGCTGCAGGCTTGCGTGTTTTTCCAGCCACGCGGCTCTTCCACAGCTTTCACTTCAGCAGGACAGGAAAAGGGTAGCATTCACAGATTGGGCTTTACTCCTACGCCGTTATGACAAAAAATCGTCCAAAGCTGCAAACACGCTGGATCTGGGGAAGAAAAAAAAAATCTCGTCCACCCCTACCACCCCCCTCCAACAAAATTGACCTGAAAAGACAACATGAACACACAGCACTTCATGAAGACTTTCGCCACCAATGGAATCATAGGTTTCACTGTATATATAGTTTGAACAGGTCAGCAGCAGGAAAAGGAACTAGCCAGAAAGATAAGAGAAAAACAAACAACTTTTATCTATAAACCACCGTCAGGGCTTACACTGCCATATGGAAAGATGGTCTTGCCACTTTGTGAGGGGACAACTTTGGTATAGCATTTGCCTGCTTCCCCACTCAGCACTGGCATAGGACTAAAAGGTATATCACACACTGCGCAGGTTAATGAAAGACGAAATATGAATATAATTAGTCAGCTGTAATACCATATAGCCCAAAAGATCCAGATTTTGGCAACAAAATTCAGAACTGTGGATTCCATAACATGAAATTAAAGTTTCAGACATTTCCAATATCGTTAATTGAAAATCTGATATGTATTCAAATCTTGCGACATTTGGTTACTAATGGTTGATTATATGTACATTACATAAAGGCAAAAAATAAGAGTAAGGAATGATAAAATTAGAAAATGTGCAAATGTCCTGGATATGCTGTATTAGGTTACTTTAATTCCATGGCAAGGGAGGGTAATAGTAGTCTATTTAAACAAACTTTAATTCTTAATATTCCAATAATAAATAAAAAACAAACCTTTTAATACAAGTGCCTTTCTGCATATTTACTAAAGCATCCCTCCCTAAAACACAAAGTAAAGTAATTCAAGTAATAAAATTAAATTAGTAACGATAGAAAAGGATTCTCAACCATATCAACTAATAATACATGTTTTTTAGTGCCCAAAGCTGTCCACCATTTCTTGTTATTCAATCTGTTAAGTTGTTTTATGGACATCCAATGAGATTTCCATTATTATATATATAAAAAAAAAACATTCAACATAAACTGCAGATCTGAATCATTCTTGAAGAAATAAATGATGAGTAAGCAGTAAATAATGAAAAAATTGTTCCATCTCTCTTAGTAATGATTTCTATTCATGTCATAATGTAGCTAATGTTAGCACTGCCATCCTGAGATACTCGGATAATAAATGTGCAGGCCTAATTTAAGGTAGTGATGCTCCTATGCTATGACAAATTTGTGTTTTAGAACAAAGGAAATTATCTATTATATTTTCAATTTTCTGTGTTCAAAAAACATATGCAGTCATATGCAATCTAAAATGTTTACATTTACTGGCAGTAAAAATGCATTCAGAAACTAAATTCATATGTAGTACTTTTGATGTGTTGTATTAAATAATCAAGGCAGGCTAATTATTATCTTGCACATCTGAATGGTTTATGTCTTAATTACTGTTTAATTGAGGTAACTTTATACATATGACATTCTTGTTATGAGAACATATGTTCTTGAAATGAGAATTTCAGGTACCTTACCTCTAATCCTACCACAAAACTTTTAATGAATCTTCTAGTTTGAGAAGAGATAAATGTTCAGTATGAAGACAGTAAGTGAGCAGCCAGGGACCAAAACACACCCTAGCTCAGCCCTAGAAGGGTATTTCTAAGCAATGGAAATGAAAACTTGCACTAATTTTCAAAAGCAGAAAGGCAAATGGCACAAACAGCTGATTTTGTCTTGTACAGAACTGCAGTTCAATAGGTGCTGGTCAATGATGAGGCAAAAAAGACCCTAATGCAGGCAATGTGAGCTCTGACAGTGAGTACATATGCCAGTTTGGTATGTTAAAAATAACATAAGGACTGTTCCACAGAAAACGGCAGAACAGTTTCAGATTTATAAAATCCCTATAAACTATGTGGATCGTAAATCAAAGATTTTTACGTTTTATCTAGCACCCCCCTTGTTGCTGTGAAGTATATAAAATTATCAAACTGCGCTTGAATCATTTACACTTGACCCCCTTTTTGGCATCAGGCAAGACAATACAGACATGATTTCTAGGAACTCTCAAGAGTAAAGAGAGCATCTAAGTGCACTCATAACCACTATAAACCTTTAGGCTTTCTTGACATATTACAAAGAAGGTATCACTTTTGGGACTCAACAGCTTTCCAGTCACATAATAAATAACTGAAGATTCAGTACGATCTACTGCTGTTGTGGTAGGTACAGGGGTAAATGACCCCAGACCTTGACCTCTACAGATGCTCTTATTGTGCAAGTTAACCTGGAAAATTCACAATCTGCTTTCCTACAAATGTTTCACATTCACATCTGATGCTTTGGCTTTAATTCTGCCACATAAATAACTAGAGATACCCGCAAATCGAAAAGGTCAGTCAGACAAACTGTAGAATACCGAAAGGAATCGTCTGGCAACAAATGATTCAGTGTTGGTCATATTTACTGATCAACCCAAACAAAGCAACAGGATTCAGCAGATGCTGGGGTTGGCAGCCACATCAATCAGTAAGGAATACGGAACTCACTTTTCACTTATTCTCTCAAGTATCCCAATAGATTACAGATGAGAATGCTTAAGACTTAGTGTCAGACTGAGTGTATACAGTGACGTTATCAGAGAGGAAATTGAAGTTTAGTCACTTCATCAAACCTACAAAAGCTTTTAGATATGCAAACTATTACAAATTCATTGTACATGATAAATTTATACAATATGTATATGCTGTATTATTTATATTTCCTATTCTTGTGTTCCAGCAACTTTAAATGCCTGTGTGTATGCCAGTTTTTTGGAAATGGCTGATTTTCTCTACCATAAATACTATGTTTTAACACAGTAAGTATTGTAATTGTATAATAGTCAAAGGGCTGGCAATATTTATTTCTATCAATTTAAAATAGCCTGCTCAAATTAATTGTTAATATAAACAATATCTAGACTGAATGGTAGCTAACTGAGGTCTGATTAACTAATTGCATTAATTACAATGCTTCCTGTATTTTCAAGGTAAATTACCATTTATAGTTAAAAATATTAAATAAAAATGGCAAACAAATTTAACAGAAATCAAAAAGTTAACAAAGTGAAACTACAGAAATTAACAATATCCATTTTAAAATATGTGTGGATACTGACAGGCAAACAAGTGTAGAGTTATTACAACGAGGGATACAGAAATAATTGAATTAATGAAAAGTTGGCAATATGAAAAGGGGATAGTTCAGGGAAGGTCTTGGCTGTAAGCAAATCTAAATGGGTGAATTTGCTAATAACCCATTTATCACCAAGTAATTCCCTTTGGTATTCTATAAAAGCACAGAGGCATTCAGCATTGCTTTCCCCATCTCTGACCATCTTTGCCATGAAGTTCATTCATAACATCTGTATAATTGTTTCCTAGTCTATTGTATCAGAATTAACTAATCTTTGTGCCTTAGGTACTTACCTTTTCAGGGATCAGAAATTTTGGAAGGACAGATGGATGAAAAATGCATATGAAAGGTACAGACTTAAGAAATTTAAAAATGTAAGGTATAGAAATGAATTCCACAGATGTTCATAAGAGGGCATGTAGAAGATTATAATGTTCTGTCACAGTTTGGAAACTTCAGTTATTAAATTCACACATGGTAGATACCTTTCTAATTTTCTTTACTTTAGTTAAAGAATATAATTTGTTGATTTTTAAATTAAAGAGACAGTTGAACCAAAGTTTCAAACAAAAGCTTTGTGTGCTTAACTGGGTTATTCTAATGTCTTGCAATTCTAATAAAAAAAAATCAAACTGAACATAGGAAACACACTGTGCTCTACACAGTTCCTTTATTATCTCTGACTTAATTATGATTTTTTGTCCACCACTTTATTTACAGCACTGTTGTACAATATAGACAAAGCAGTGTCAAGATCTGTATTCATGGTGAGGTGAAAAAACTTACTTTTGTTTTCCAGTTTAAATTATCCAAATAGTTACGTCTTCACTGAATATTTTTTATGGAAAGGGGAATATGAATGAATAAGCAAGACAGTTCACTGTACAACTCCATAAAACCCAGTTAAGTAAAACTTTGGTACAACTATAAAATAATTGGTAACTAGCTGCCCCCCCCAGTATATAGCGCACTGCAGTAGAAGGGAGTCAAACCCTGAGAGAGTTCTCATGCTGAAGCTCAGACTGTTTCGATTTTCCTAAACAAGAAACCCATCTGGCCGAGAAGAAAATCTTAAAATTTGGAGAAAAGGCATGTATAATAACTGTTGTTAACAAAAAAGCCTTCCTTTAAGGTACAGGAGAAAGTCCTTAACCCACTGGTGCAAATCTCTATATACTGCGTACCAATAGTGATAGATCAACGTATTTTTAGTATTTTTCACCTGTTGTAAACAGAAAAAATAGAGGTGGGCTATTTCTTGCAAATGTGAAACAAATGCATATGTAAAAAATAGACAACTGACAGCTTAAAGCCAATGGGGGAGTTGGTAATAAAACTAATGTACAGCCTTGCAAAGACGAAATTCTAACTGTACCCATTAGTTTACATAAGAGGAGCTCTGCATGAACGGTGTAATCTGGACTAAAACTAAAATCTTCCATCTATCAAAAAAGACAACTGAGAATATAAATTATATACACTAAAATCCCCCCACAATGATAGCTTAACAAGTGATTAGAATCCAATAACAGTAAAAAGGAGGAATAAAAAGAAACAAAACAAAAGGCTTTTCCGCTTAAAACCAGACCTGCAGGATGATCACAGTTGGAAATGCGGTCACAGTTCAGTATTCAATCTGCAGCATTTTCTTCTACCGCAGACAGCCAGCCAACCCTTAAAAAAGCGCTTCAAAAAGTTCTGATGGCATGTCTTGTTAGAAGTTGTCACTATACCTTATTTTATTCTTAATGGTATGCCTGACAGAAGAAGGACGAAGGAAAACTTTGATTCTGCCACTTGAGGTATTAAACATTGAACATGGCATCCAAGGCCATCTCGGGTCTCCAGTATTACATGAGATCTAACAAAAAAAAAAGCCAGCAGCAACTCAAAATACAGGCATCAAGACAGCAGTTTAAGCTAAATCAAATTCCATTACTGTCAAAGCATGGTTTGTGGAATGTGCCCCCCATTTTTCCAATAATATAAAGTACAGCTTTTAATGATAATCTGAAATGAATTTGTCAACTGCAAAATGTCAGACTTTCTAAAAAAAACATGGTGTTACTCAAACCTAAAGATTTCTGTTCTGTTTTTCTAGCAGAATATTGAAGTCAGTAGAAGTACTGCATTTCACAGCTTAAATGTGACTTGTATCCTATTGGAATGAAAGGCCTATTCAAAGCCAGGTGAAGTCAACAGGAAATCCACACTTTAACATGACTGACAATGAATAGCCGCAGTTCAGAATCATACAAGATGCACTAATTCAGAGGGGAAATGTTCATCTGCGAAAAATAAACAGAATTCTAGGTCACATATCATCTAATTAGATCCTTAAAGAAAATAGATCCTTTCTGAGGATCTTGAAACAACCAAAATTGAATGCAAGGTGCATGACTTGAAACAATGGTTCAAATTAGAAAGCACACCCATTAAAACAATACGTTATGGCTGAATTAGGTCTTATCATATTTTGAAAATGAAATTTCTTCGGGTAACAGAAATAAAAAAATAAAGCAACAGTTTCAGTAAATAAGGATAGTGTTGTAAATCATGCTGAAGCAGTATCCTTCCCAAGTCACTCAGCCAATATGTTTATACTCACTCACAACCTGTCAAGATGGAATCCTGCAGCACCAAATCCTTGCTTAGACGTATAAACATATTCCTAAACATACTCATTCTGAAGGCATTTGGGACTTTTTTTTAAATTCTTTTAGCAATCAATTCCATATTAAAGAACACCACAATTCGAAACAATGAGTCACAGAGTTTGCAAGACAGACCTACTCCTCCCTTTTCCAATTTGTCTTTCATTGTAGATTCACAAAAAAATACCAGCCATCCATTTACTGGTCAAATCACTCATACCAGCACTCAGCAATTTGCTAAATTTCACCAAATACCAAGGCTGTTTCACAGGCACTGGTTTGTATCATTTGAAAAGCCTCTTTGAGGGCTCTTGAAAAATCACAAATGGCAGAAGGGATGGTACTGTCCACCCTTTTCCTTTTAGGCACTCCATAAAGAATAGAATGAGCTATGGTGACAACTTTTAATCACTACATGCCATCGTAGTTGAAATTTTCCATTTTGACTGTCTGTCTAATGAGTAGCTTGGATTCTCGCCGCTCCTCGTTCTTGATAGATTTGTTGATATCCATTATCTTTTCACAGATGTATTTGTTCACTTTGGACAACCTTTGTGTGATCTCTGCACTGTCTGCTGTTTCTTGCGATACTCTGTCATACAGACATTCTGTAAAGAAAAGAAAAAGTCAGATAAATATTATGTGTATTTACTTCGAAGCTTCAATATTCAAGCTGAGATCCATTTCCAAATCTGGATATTCAGGTCCACTGGGATGTATAAGTGTACACTACAACACTACAACATATCAAACATACAGTCGAGTCTTACACTCAATGGATAATTCACACTCTTCGAGAGAGATAGAGAACTCCTGTCACATGAGACCAGGCTTCACTATGACAGCTCTTTGTATTATATAAAAGTGCATTTGTTTCATCTCCAGTGTACGGAAGCCAATTTGAGCAGGCACTAGAACTTGACCCTTAGAACTGCCTAAAAGAGAATCTATAATACAACCTGTGTTTGAAAGCTCATAATTATAGAAAATAATTGATTCAATTGAGATTTATCTCAATCTTGTTAAAAGTTGGGAATTCACAGTAGCAGTGAGTCATAAAATGCATCAAGCTCCAAACAACAACACATGCCCTGGACAACATAGGTTGTATAGGTTTGTGGAGACACTTGTGACAGTAAAAATATGCTAGCTTTTCACTATGCTGGGCCTGGTTTTGGGTGTAGGATGGAAAGCTCTAGGGAAATCCAAAAAATGCTGCTATAAGTGATGGACCAGTAGGTGGCACACTTTTCTGTGTACAAGCCATTCTAAACAAGCTCTTTCTAGAATCTTGACTGTGCTTTTAGGATTTTATTCTTCACTGCTTTTGTAACCAAATCTGAAATTTAACAGACTACAAAGCTCTGAAAAACCTTTAGCTCAAGAAGAAATAATACGGTAAAGGCAGAGACTATGACCCACAAAGATATTTCTTATAGATGATGTCCTGTACTTGTGATTCATTCAGACAAAAGGTCTTACCTCTGACTATTTTGAGTTTGCTTGGAGACAGAGGGGGCTTAGGTAGGGCATCTTTCTTCTTCTTGGTTGCTACTCCAGTGACACTCCTGTTCTTCAGAGTCTCTGTGCCCCATATCATGACAGCTAGATTTTTGGTGAACTTGGAATCTCCTTGTGTGCGTTGTAGCTGGTGCCATTTCTCCTCCTCTACCCAAATACCACCACCCAAGTGTACCTTAATGAGAGAGCAAAGAATCGAGATTAATATATCAAGAGGTTCTACTTGCAACTGTACAGAGCTCATCTGGAGGAGGAGTAGAGTTTACATGGTTTAATTTCTGGTCTGGAGGGGACATCAGCTGGTTTGGCTCTTCACACAGTGAGAATCTAATGATCTTTTAGCTTGGATATTTAATTAAACTGCAATGTAAGATGAAGCACAATCATTATGTTATGAGTTTATTTTCCTATGCCTTTTACTGATTAATGGTCATTGAGTCTTCACTGGACAACTTCCAATTTAGAGTAAATTATTTCCCCTTAAGATCAGGGTGTGCATTTTATTATTACGTACTGTATGATATTTATATGAAAGTTGCACCTGTTATTATTGCGCACTTCATATCCATTCTGTTGAACACTTTACTTCCGTAGACATATAATTGCTCTACTGGCATAAAAATGGACCAAAACAAAACTAAGGCTAAACTGCAGGTTCAAACTGCACAGCTGTAAAATCTCCTTAAAGGTCTTCACGAATGCATGTGGAAAGAACCCTAGTCTGTAAAGTCAAATCATACAAGTTAATGAATTATTTGATTTCTTGGCAATATGGTTTTCTAAGCATGAGTTTCTGGACACACGTAGTTCCACTCTGAGGTCTTCACAGTGCTGCTAGTCTATGCGTTGGTAATAGTAAGAAAATTATGCTCACATTTCTGATCATGGGTTGAAGGTACATAATCACAGAATCAGGTGTTTATCCAAGTATTATTCTTTTTATTTGGTAGATTACAGTTTGAAAGTGTATTCTGCTGCTGAATCTCTTCTGCCTTCAATTTATCAAGAAACTAGTAAGAAAGTAATTTTAAAAAGATGCTGAGACAAATAGTGTGCTCTTTCAGGGTTGCTCCCAACAGGCTTTTGTGTTCTTGGAAATTCTAAATACAATAGTGATCAGCCATAGGTCCGTTTCTTCATTTTTGCAAGTTAGAAAAATCTAAAACATATAATACAGGAACACCAGACAAAGCAGCTGTAAAAATCTTTTTGATACTTGACTATCAACTGGGAGATTAAATTAATGAACGAAAGTGGACCAAAAATACATTCAATTAACAGCATAGAAATAAGGTAATTCAATATTTACCTTTTTTCATTTACAGATGACTTTGATTCTGCATTTGCAGATGTCATTTCTGTGATAAATCCGTATAATAAAGAAATTTTGAGAAGAGGATTATGGTAACTTAATAACATCGTTATTTAGTATTCACTTCGGTTTGACATTTTAATCTTCAAAACTGAGTTTGGGATTGCAACCGATAAATTAATTCTTTTTATTAAAATTGCCTTTTATATAAAGTCTTTCAAAACAATATCCCAAGGAATGATAAATTTGGCAGTTGTGCAAAAACATTGTAAAGTGCGGTGAGCTTCTTGAAACATACTTATAAATACATTATATTATAAATATTTCTTCTAATTCTTGGATACATACTATATCCTAGGTCCTATTTTTTAGAAAGTACACTTAGGGATGCCAAGCAATAAAATACTTTAACATGATGGCAAAGCATACAGCTCAAAATTAAACAAGGCTAATTAAGCAATGAGATTCACTGAAGATGAATGCTTCGCTTAATGGGTGGTTTGAAAAAGCTATAATTGTGACTGTCCTCTTCACTATTAAAAAGATCATGTTAATAAATTCAAGCCTATCAACACCATTCGTGAATGCAATAAGGCTTTTGAGTAGGACTCTTTATTAATACCACTACATTGGTCCTATGAATATCACTACAGTGCACGTGTTTAGCAAGCATGCTTTCATAATTGTTTTTCCACTTGTTACTGATGTTCAAAAATTGTGGTTTTGAAAAAAAGCTTTTTATTGAACAGAATTAAGTAAATTATGCTGACCAACATTTATCAACAGGGTTTATCTACTGTGAAAAACACAGGTTTGTAGCAGGTGCAACCACTTTGACACATGTTTTGAAGGTGCTGTCTTGTGAAAGTGGTTTCACCACAAAAAGAAGTTTCCTGATCTAAACAAATTTCCAACTGCTGTTGCAAGACAGACCACAGAGGTATCTACAGCCGGCATTAAGTGCATTTTGAAGTGGATAGAACATCCATTCTCCCATCTAATCTATCTAAGCCACCAATTCTTTCACAGCACCCCAGAGCCTTTCCAAGAAGGCGCAGGGAGAGACTATATTCTGGCTAGGACACATATCGCAGGGCGCACAAGGAAAATTCACAGACACAAATTAACCTCAACTTTGAATTATTTCAAATGTGGAGGAAACCAGAACACTTCAAGAAAAACTCAGACACGGGAAGATAACAAAAACCCATCACAGAAGACGTCCAAGGACGAAAGTGATCCCAGTGCTCCGTGGCTATGACTGAAGCACTAATCACTTTGCCAACAATGTCTGATAAAAAACCCTTTAGAACAACCTGAAGGAGATTTTGTTTTAATATTTTGATTAAAACAAACAAGAAACAAGACAATTCCAACAGTTGAACCACTGTGCTAGAAAGAAGTGGACAAACTGAATTTTCCACTACAGTTATAGCATCAGTAATACAGATAATGAACACCAGTACATAGTTTCTCAATGCTTTCATGTTTTACTAGCTGCAGGTTCTTGCACAAATGTACAGATGAGGTGTTACTGTAACACTGAGTTTTTGTTAAACTTCATGCATCTATCTACACACATCATCTCATGATAAAGTAAAAACCTTGACATATCCCAGCACCTGTTGTTGGATTCCACAACAGCCTGTAGCTTTTAAAACCTGAAAAAGATCTAAAACTGCGATGAAATTGGAGTCTTATCCATTTCCCTTTGAGACAGCTTCCTCATCAGTGTCTTGAAATCATTTCAAAGAGAAGACTTATCTCTCCAGGCCAATAATTAAAGGGAGGAGCAGTATCATCCTCAGCTGCAGTCTCCGTGCTTCACTAATGCATCTAACATTTTACCTACAGCTATTGCCTGCGACAATACCACGCCAGGGAATGCAATAAATAAAAGAGGGTTTAGCACTAATTGTCAAAAGAGAAGGTAGATGCACTTCCTCAGATGCAGACGCCTTACATGACTAAAAAGGTAAATTAAAGCAATGGCATTCCTGTGACAAAAACCTTTGATCGTCTTCAGCGGCCTTCGGGCTGCTGGTCGACCTATTTGCATTTTCACCTTCTTGCTAAGGTACTTTAGGATTGAGGCTAGCAGGCCACCTTTACTCCAAGCTCTGGTCTGCACAAAAGTTTGAGGGATTTTTTTAGAGCTACCGTCAATTCATATACTATGGTAGAAATAATTAGTACAGGGGAACGTGAGAGAGATGTAATTTGCTTTTGTTCTTCACGGTTGAACTGAGAGAACACTTTCCATTTGTAACGAATTCCTCCAAGCGGCGAGAATGGGAATACAGTGTGCCTCTCCACAGATCTAACTAGAGTGAGTGAAATCAATGCTGCAGAAGAGAAAGTCGTGAGATTTCTAACATACTGCTTATTGCATTAAACAAATATCAATGTAATCCATTGCCAATGACCAAGAAGGTCAGAAGAGACATCATTAAGCAGGGAAAGAAGCAGTAAATGTGAGTTAAATATGAGGACAGGCTGAACGTACCTTCCCGTCATTGAAAGTGTATACTGTTCTGGGAGAGGGTGAATGGCTAGAGCTGGTGTTTGCTTCTTCTCGGCAGACTTCTTGTGGCTCAATAATGGGTTCCACCACTTCTGTCTTGATTGTCTGAGTGCCATTGTCATGCATAGGCTCTGTAATAAGAACAGATTGAGTACTGTTAAAGCAAGACACTTATGGAGAACCAAAAAGTTTCTTTTTAAGTATAAATGCTAAAAGATCTGTTTTATTTCATATGCTAGCTTTCTTCATGTGAAATAGCCGTCTCCTTCAAGCTAGTAAATACATAGTACAAGGGAATATTCATCATGAAAACGTTCAAGAGTGCGCCTATTTCAGATAAAACATTTTATTTACAACATGGTTCTGAAGAGGATCTGAGGTTAAACATTTCAAAGAAGTTACAGAGTGCATTATCAAGTAGCATTTTATGATAGTTAAATAAAACCTTTCTTAGACAAATATAGTGTATTTAGCAAAATACCCTTCAACCAATACTTATATAGCAGAAGAAATATTCTAAATTTATTTTGTTGGTGCTTTCATCTGGGTTATTTATACAGCTGAGCCTATCACTTAAGAATATTACTTTGCTCAACTGTATAATAGCAGTACCCTGTCTGGGAATTGACACCTTCAAGTTAGAGTAATAATACAGTAATACTGTAGATCTTCTCTAGTCCTTCAAATTAACAACAGTATTACTCCGAGAAAAGTTAAAATACAGAAAACAATGTTGTTGTTTTTTTATTATTTCTGTAGGTGTTAACAAGCTTTCGAAAACCTGTAAAAGTCTGTCCTATAGCTGAGAAAGATGCTCTCATATTGCCTTAGATCAGGATTATAAAACTATTAATTATATGTAGCAGAACTTACAGAAATATTGTCTTTGTAATAACTGACAAATTCCAATTTTGGCATAATAATCCTAATATTATTTGTGAATAAAAACTCATGCATAAATATGCTCATGCAATGAGGTTGAAAGAAGAATTTATCTCATGTTGCAGGACAAATACATTCCTTCATTTCTTTACAGAAAGGTTATTCTGGTAAAATAATTATCATTACAAAATTCCATTGAAAAAAATCAAGTAATCTAAATCTCATAGTATACGAAAAAGCTGACCTCAAAACAACTTGAAAAAAAAACTTGTTTTAATGCAACTTTTTCAATCTGGTTGCTTTATCGGTCAGATCTTTGAAGACAAGTTTCATGGCTTGAATATACTATACTTATGAGGCAACAAGAAAAGGTTTATTCCATGCTGAAAAGAGAAGAAAAGAAACACAACATTTCGACTGTGGAGCCTTCTTCTTTCACTATATGTATACTATATTTACTATATAAAAGTATGATATCAGAAGGGTTAACAAATGAAACTCACTATTAATTGGACATTTTTAATTAATAGGTCTGCACAACCTTTACTAGTAATGGGATTGACATGAAAGTTACACATTATATAGGAATACAAAGAACCATCAAAACATCAAAACCTGCTCCCTACTCACACACTTTACTGTACAACCATCAGGTTACACTCAGAGGAAAGCTGAATCAGAAGTGACACTTTTAAGACCTAATAAATGGTTTCATTTGAGACATTCAGTTACATCAGCCTCATCCTCCACACATGAACCCAAATGGGAAAAAATATTTCTCTTTATTTAGAGAGCCTCTTTAGTGACTCAAGCTGGACCAGGAGGACCAGGAGCAAAGATTCCATTATGACTTGCGCCAGTAGGTTCTTTTTAGTCCAGTAAGCTGGATTGTTGGCCGGCTGTGCTAAGCTCCCATGCAGCTGATGAGTTTTAATATTGGTCAATGCATTCCTGACCTGAAACAACCCCAGGCTTCTAATCTCGTGCCTCTATATTGCAGGAGCCTAGATTTTGCTTCAAGGTGATGGTTGGTTAATGCTCCTGTTATCTAAAAGAATAGGCGCACTGTATGCTTCTCTCGGGGTTAGAATTCACTCAACACAGGAGTTTTTATGTCAATTTGATGCTTCTAATACATGCAGTTATGAATGTACAAAAAAGATTGTTGCTATTCTGTTGATCTCTGGTTTAGTACATTTCTTGTATGTCAATAGATCGTAAGCTGGAAAAAAATACTGCAACTAAATACTAAATCTTTTCTCTTGTTTTGAAATGTTTTGTTTAGATTCATGTGGGGAAACAAGATTTCAATTTTTGGCAGGGGTATGAATTATTATATTCAGGTCTCATACTCATCCAAGCTTAAGTCTTCCAAAAAAGCACACTGATGCTGATAACCCTGCCGTATTCAGTGAGCACCAGCTGTATCGTTTAGAGCCCTGGAATCAGTGGGTTCAAGCACCTTCATCTTCATCACTGCAGTAGACACAGCTGTATAAATGGGTAACCTAGCAATAGACCAAGAGGAACTGTGTACTACCAGGCTCTAGGCTCAAATTCATCTTGAGCAGAAAATTCAGCACGTGGATGATCTCAACAGGATTGTCTCTCTAACTGGTTGGTGCTTACCACTTCCCAGCCTCATGAGCAAAACGTCCTGCAGCCTCCTGTTGAAGTCTCTGAGCTCCTTGACCTCGGTCAGCAGGCTCCCATACTCCTTCAGCTTCTTGGCCTGCTGTACCAGCTGCCTGCGCGTGCGCTCCAGTTCCTGCTGGAGGCGCCGCATCTCTTCCTCCTGTTGCCGGTAGCTGTGCACCAGCTCTTCATACAGCACCCGTGGCACCACAGCCTCCTCGGCCCCCGAGTCCTCCACAAGGCTGTCTTCATAGTCTTCCTCGCCTTCCATGCAGGAGCTGACTGCATTCCGCTCCAGTCGGGCCACTACCGCTGCCAGGCTCTTGGAGGAACTGGAATTGGAGCGCCCATGCTCTTGTGCCTGGAGCCCCAGGATGAAAAAAAGGCAAAACAAATCTCAGTCCAAGCAAGGTCACATTGGTGACTGCAACGGTTAAGGAAGAAGGGAAATTATCATCTTCAAAGACCACTGTCAAGTGTCAGAAGAAAGCTTCTTATTTTATTTGAATACATGCTGCATGGTGGCCAGCAATGATAAGTAGGGACTCTCCAACAATCTTTTAACACTACATGTTTCTTACATGCATACATATTGAGAAATGCTATTTTCTTTGGCATGGTTTAACATGAATTATTTTTAAGCTTTTACAGTTTATTGCCTACATTCAAGTGACCATCAAAACCACTGCAAATGCTGGAATCAATTTTAGATAGACAGATACTTTATTGATCCCTTGAGGGAAATTGCAGACATTTTTTGGCCACAGGAAAAAAATAATTAAAAATACGTCTCTTAAGGTAATATCTTTACAACTTCTATTGCAAAGATTTAGCTTCAAAGCTAGTTGATTGACAGTTCTGGGGACTGTGATGTTACAGTGCAGCTGTCCAGAGTGCTGAACTCTTGCTATTTACATGAATTATATTTCAGTTATGGACTATGGCACTGTTATAAACACACGTACAGAAGCAAACACATGATTTTACCAATTGAATCCTTAACCAAATAGCTAAAGGAACAAAATGATGCTGGATGTTCAGCTGTCCCATTAAGTCCATAGGATGGATTAAATTAATAAAATCATATAGTACAATACTTGATCTTACTTTCAGCCTGCTCATGAAATTATACAAAATTATACAGAACAGTAGATACTTCACTTGCGGGTAGTTCATACTATCTGAAAAATGTCATAATTCATCAACAGCAAAAATTCCTTTTAATTTCCTCCATGTTGCATTAACATGTACTCCACATTAAACTACGTTATATACAGTAGAAAACTGTAAAGGCTCGGATTCAGCATCTGGGAGACAGTGGGCACAAGGCAGGATGCACCCTGGATGGGAAGTCAGTCCATTAGGACTCACACACATGCACTCATGCACATGTACAAGGGCAGATGTAGAGATCCCAGTTAATGTAGGAGGAATCTGGAGCACCAGGCCAAAACCCACACTGGCACAGGAAGAATATGCACACTCCTCTGAGAAAGTTCCCCAGGCAAGAAATAAAGGAATCAAAGTCACTAAATTAATAACAAAATGTTTTTATAAAAAGGGTGATTTCACTTTTTAAAGTGTTTAAAACCTCAAGAACTTATTTGTATTATATGCACAGTTACCAAAATACACAAATGTATCACATTTACACTGTTGAAAATTCCCTTTTCTCCTCTGTGTGTGGGTTGAGCCACTCTGCTAACTAATTTCTCCTGCAATACAATACACTCATATAGATATTGCCCAGTAAGACGAATTAAAATCCTCACTACATACAAGAATAATACCAAATTAAGATAAGGATTTTTTTCAAAATGTTTCAGTCTACTGCTATTTGATATTTATGCAGTATCACAGTTTCTTATTCCTCCTTATGTCAAGGAGTTATTTTCATACTTGTCGCTTAATACCCTCCGGTGTGAGTGCTATTTCAGTCATCAACTTAAAATTCAGCATTTAACGCCACACCGTGAATTGCTGAGAATAACAAATATAAAACTGGACACTGTACAAACATTTGAAATCAAAGATGGTTCGAAGTTCAACCTCCTCCAAAAGCAATAACAACATTATTTCGGAGTCAGCACCAACAAATCATAGACTATCACAATGTACTAATTTTAAGATATTTTTAGAATATTGGAATAGAATATTCGAAACAAATCCCCAAATAAATAAAATATTAAAATAAACATTAAACATAACAATGAAAAGAACTACAACTGGTTATTTCACTGTTTGAAAAATGCATTTTGAAAGCGAATAAAAAGTTCTCTGCATATGTTTTGTGGAAACCTAGGCACAGAGGTTCAATGTTGAATGTAGTTTACAACAACATACCCCTCCTGCTTCTAAGAACAAAGCAAGCTGAGTTAGATGGGCCTGGGATGCTTTGGCCAAACCAGATCTGTTGTAATTTAATCAGATCCAGAAAACAGAACTGCTGTTCTCGTACTCTTGTTGCCCACAGTTGACAGGAACTCAGACTAATGCTTCCGATACCAGAAACCTACATTTGTGACTGTGCTACAAGCACTTAATCCATCAGGTCCTCATTGTTTCAGCTGGATAACACAGAAATCCGCATGGCAGATACACTAGTGTTATGTTATGCTATTATATTACCTTAATTATACTGGCTGGGGATCTCAAGAAGTGCTATACGGGCCGTGGTTCTCTCACTTGTTAAACACGCAATGCTGTCTGTGTGAAGGTAGATTAACCTCAGCATACCAAATGAAGATCACAGAAAAATGTAGATTTTTTTATCTTGATTTTAGTCGCCAGTAAAATTTTGATGGGTTGGATCATTAAGAAAAAGGCATCATAACCAAGGTTGCAGAGCTAAGGAGAAATTTGCTCAAGAGTTGCTACAGACTCCATAGGGATCTCATATCTGACACACTGAATTTTCTAAATTAAATAAAAAATTGTTTGCATGCTGGGTTTGAGGCATTTTGATTACCCAAGCTCCTGTGTAATTAACACATTTAATGGCAGTTACAGTCCTCCGTCACATGTAACTCATAACATATCAGAAAAAGAATTATCAAACATTCATTAATCAGACAATGTCTGTAAGCAGAAGAAAAAACAACCTTCACACTAAAACATGAAAGCATGTTATTTGACAGCAAAACCTTTTCATTGTATTTTCCACTCAATAAAAATAGTTATTGAAGAAAAAAAAATATCTACCCTACATTTAACATTATCCTTAGTAGATGGTTCTGTATTCAGTAGCTATTTTTTTCCACTTTCCATAATGTTATCTGCTTCAATGCTCCTGAAAATAATATTTTACTTTAAATACTTTCAATATTTAGAGGGATGTTACCTGCTTTTAAACACTTTCTTATAAATTTGCAAATCCTTTTATAACAATTCTTATCTTGCACTTTCAAACAATTACCTAGCAGTAAGAAGTCCATAAATTAAATACAGTAAAAACTCCTTGCTCACTTAACCTCTTTTTCAGCATAAGATGACACAAGAAAAAGTACCTTTTTGTGTTTGAGGGGGAGGAGTTCCTCTCCAAAGTGATTCTCCACTGAATTATCTAGAGCATTTGTGGACAGTTTGGGAATTTTCATCTTTTTCTGCATAATACTGTGTTCAAACTCTTCTATGTTTTCTGAAATAAATCAAAAAGAAAATTAGTATTGATTCAAAAGCAGAAGAGGTATTTAGACTTAAAAGAAACTTTATCATGGGCATATCAGAAAAAGAAGAGGCCAGCTGTGTCCCATTACCTCACATAATACAGTTATTATGAAACCCAAATTATTATTATGCAATATCTCACATTAATGTCCTTTTTTGTTCAGTAAATTTTGATAATATTCTACAAAACTAAAAATCACCGTACTACTATTTTAACCTAATTCCTCTTTCCTTTTTAAACCTAACATTACATTTTAGGTCAATTCCAGAGTTGGGTACTAAAAAACTGACATCTAAATTCAGCTTCTACTGGGGCACTTCCTGAAATGAGTGCAGTCACTGAAATGTAATAATAATAATAATAATAATAATAATAATAATAATGATGATGATACTAGTACTAGCTAGCAATCAATGCAGATAAGTATGGTTTTCACTGAGTGCTTTGGCAGTCACTTGCCTGCCCATTCTCCAAAGAGCAAAGGCGTTTAAGGTTTTTTAGAACATCACACTTCAAAACATCAGTAAAATAACAGTTTAACACACTTAGTTTAATGGTTTTTTTAATACTTGAAGAATAACACATCTGTGATCATTTTTAAAACCTTTTATAACAATACACACAGCACGGTATTTGTTTAGTCCGAATCTGCCCACTTGTCTGTGGTCACTTCGTGAACAGCTCTAAGATAATACATTTCTGAGATACTTCAGCTTCTGCCCAGAGTAGCTGGGCATTTTGCCATCTTTGTGCATCTGCCCATACCACAATTACTGGGACAAGCTTCCTTTTTTAGTTAATGGACTAAAATCACATTGTATGTAGAAAACAAGTGTAATTGTCCAAAGCTATATAATGACAGTCTATAACATGAGAGTCAGTGCATAAGTTGCTAGAGATAGTTTCGGCCATTACGGCCAACAGAAATGTAAAAATGGAACCCACACCAGGAGGGCCAAAAATGCATCTGGCAGACCTTGTTAAGACAGTAGCTCTTTTTCCCCTCTTAAAACCAAGTATCTGATGTCTGCATATGTGTTCAGGCACTTTTATAACTTTATGGAAGGACAGCTACCTAGATGCCAAAGATTACACATTTAAAAACCCAGAGATACATAAACAAAGTCAGATTTCATTAACAGTGTGGCATGGGATATGTTTGCTTCCAATGAAGTGCCAAGAAAAGGTCTGGGAAAACCCTTGGTTGGTCACTATGTACGTATATTTTAGATAGAAAATTTAACTATATTGTCATGGAAGTCTTAATCAAAATTACATATATATATATAACATAACAAACAGACAAAAGATAGAGTTGGATTATTTAAGTAGCAACAGTTAATAGCCTTGTGCAAATATGTTTCTGAACCATTAAATTCAATAACTGGTTGCACCTCATTGAGCAATGACTTCAACCTGACGTTTACTGTAATTGTTTACAATAAGGTCATATTTTATGAGTTCTTGTCCATTTTTCCTTAGAGAACTCCTTCTCTAAGAAAGCAGGTTACATTTGAGGGGTTCCCTGCATGAATAGCTAATTTCAGGACCTGTCATGGCACTCTATGTGGTCTGAGGACCAGAATTTGACTTGGATAACCCAAAATGCTACATTTCTTATATTTCAGCAATTATGTTGTAGATCTACTTTGTATGTTTACAATCTCTGTATTGGCCCACTTTCAACTCAGCTGACTAATGGAAAGCCTGACAGTCTCCTCCAGAATTTGCTGATACAAAGCAAATTCCAGTTCTGTCAATGATAGCAAGTCGACAGGTGCTAAGGCAGCCAAGCATCCTTCATTGATGATATTTCCGCCATTTTGCGTGACAGTCAGATAAGGTTCTTCTCTTGGAAGGCAATGTTCGGTTTTTAATCACACAAAACATCTCATTGTGGTCAAACAGCTCAATCTCTGACTTGTCTATCTAGATAACATCCGTCCAGTACATCAGTAGATCATCCAGGTGCTCTTTGGTGATCCCAAGACAGGTAGCAGTGTCCTTTTCTCATGGTTACAGCAAAAACACTGACATTTGCTGCATTGAGAGAGGGCAGCAGATCCTTGGATGATACTCTGGGTTTTTTTTTTTGTGAGTTTCTGGATGATTTTCCTGGTTGCTCTTGGGAAGGTCTTGGCGGGACAACCGATCCTGGGTAGTGTCACTGTAAGTTTGAATATTTTCATTTGTTGACTATGAGATAGAAAGAGACTCACATGTTTAGAAATGGCTTTGTAACACTCTCTAGACTGATAAGCAGGAGCTACTCTTTTAAGTCCAATGAAATCTCTTTGATCTTAGCACAACACATTTCCTCTAACCTCTATGATGGACACCAGACTCACAAATTTGAATACTGTTTGTGTCACTTTAAAAAAACAGATTCTAAACATGCCGAAACACACAGAACTATACATATACAGAAACAGGTGAAAAAGCATGGAAATCCTATAAACAGATCATCCCCTGATGCTGTCTGCCTGCTGTCTCCTTTCCCTAGACTTCAGAAAAAAGAAAATCCAATGCAACATTGCCCACGTCCCTATTGAAGCAGACAGGAGCTCTACAATCATTAGAGTAAAACTCATGCTGGATAAAGAATGCCTTCAGAATCTCATGACTACTATGGCTATAAAGACATCGAGATCTTTTTTGTCCAAACTCCTTGGAACACCAGATGCAGAAGCTTTTTTACAGGGCAACGCTCAAAGCAAAAATATGAAAAATACTAAGTTGAACATTTTTTTCCATGCTGAAAAGAGAAGAAAGGAAACACAACGTTTCGGCTATGGAGCCTTCTTCGGGTGTGAGCTCCACAGCCGAAATGTTGCGCGTCCTTTCTTCTCTTTTCAGCATGGAATAAACCTTTAACTTGTACCTTTGCAGCCTACGCATGCTGATGCAGCTACCTACTTGAACTATGAAAAATACTTGCTTATTGCCAATTAGGAATTGTGATCTCTGAGCCGTACATTGTGCTGGTGGTATAACTGCGCTGGGATTAAGAGGGATGGCTGCGCTCGACTCTTATAATGTTTACTACCAGGACAACCTTTCACCCATTTTCAACCATCTGCAGTAGGTGCTGGTTACACTTTTGCTTAACTGGATGTCATCACTGTCCTGACCATCATCAGTCCTGACCATGCTGGGCCAGGGAATCATTATCTCGGAAGGTCAGAGGCCCTAATGATCTCAACACTACTATGTCTATATATGTTGCACCCTAAGAAATTCCCTTGGAATTATGCCACAGCTGGCTACTGCCTTGACAGAAGAGTAGACCCTCTAAAAAATAACAGACTGCTTGATGGAGAAGGATTCTTCATAGTTGCCCTGTTCCACCATAAATTGGAGTGACCTCATAATTGCACTGTACTAATGAGTGTACTGGTGGACTGCAACAAAATAAATATGCTCATTTGTGCAATAATGGGAGCTCACTGTAATTATTTGTAGGTACACTGTCCTGCTGGCACGCTTGGTTGGTCAGTGTTGTTGACCATGTTTCAGTGCCAATTAAAATATAGTACAGTGGCTTACTATTTCCTTATACTCAGGAATGTGTAGTGCGAATACGTCATGCATTCACACATAAAAAATAAAAACTGAATCTCAGTCTGAACTAAAAGGCCAGAAGCAAACATCCGCTCCTCTCACTTGAAGTGAAACGTCACCCAGCAGCCCCTACATCCCTCTCCTCTTATTAACACAAGTTTTCTTGAGTAAGCTCCAAGTTTGTTGTTCCTAAAATCCGAAGCACAAAAAACATGTATTCTTGTTGCAGTTCGGTTCGACTTTTGCAAATGTAAATGGCAAATTTGAAATTACATTCCATGTCACAAACTTGAGTTAACATCCACTGATATTCAAGACAAAATAATGTTTTTTTAAAGATTTGTTTAAGTATGGAAACGCAGATGTAAAATACATCTATTTAAACAGAAACCATCCACCTCTAAACAAAATGTTATGCAAATACCTTATAGGGTTGAATTGAGGATACGGGATTACAAAACTCGTGGTTTTGCTGCCTTAGTTGTGCTGTAGCATGACTACGGTAACACCAGTAGTACGACAACTCTGTAAACAAATCGACGTCATATTTCTGTCAAGTTTAACTAAATCCGATCTGAAAATACACAAAGGCACAATGTAATGGTAATTTTGCTGTAGGACACCAGGAAAGTTGGAGACAGTTGCTGAATAGCAAGCTTCACATGTTTAGGCCTGTACACTGAAGAAATCGGAAAACAGTCTTTTGATATTAAAAAACACGAATTTCTGAAGCAGAGGAAGAGCGTTATACTTAAAAAGTAAGAAAGTAGCGACAGTTTTAAGCAATTTCTAGAACTTAGAACGATTAGCTGCTTAAAGAACCTCTTAACTGGAGCTAAATCTGAGACAACCTATGCATGTATTTGAATAAACAACATATAAATCGTAAGATTTCATAACGCTCTTTCATTTCTCTCTGTCACATCTTATAATCACTTAATGCTCCTTTTGGATTGTCTTCAGTTTTTAAGGTAGGCCCACAGTCTTATTCTTCAGCTCTTACTTAATCGCAGTTCTGACCTTTAATTAATTAATTTCTCAAGTAGCCTACAGATATTTCCGAATTCCTTAAAAACTGTATTTCAGGTAATGATCACTTGGACAACGTTTTTCATTGATGAAAATCTGTTCAATTCCAATACTTTTGTAACACAAGCCACCGCCACGCTTTTCTTTCCGATATGCCCATAATAAACCAATTAAAAACATTAGAAGTAGAAAACGAGTGAAAGGTAATGCATGAGAAAGAGAAGAAGTTAAAACGACTTACCTGCAAGTGCCAGTATCTGTGCTTTGCCAGGCTGGCCTGTACCATTCCCTTCTGTTCTGTGCACCAAATACACCTTCTGATTATCAAAATCTGTCTTGTGCAGAGGTCTAAAATCTTTTACACTGGAAACCGGCAAAGCGTAGCACACATCGTCTTCCAGAAACCTCACAAAAGCATACATTATTTCTTCTTTGGTCCTGCACTTTAGATATGGTTAACAGTTTTCCCTCTATATAAGTATAAAAAATATATATAAACACACACAAAGGGGGAAGGGGAAAGGCCTCGGCGCTCAGCTACTCCGGCCTGGTCTCCCCTCACTTCAGGAAATGAGAAGCTTTTTTTTCTCCAGACGCCACCAGGCTCGAATAATCAACGCACGAAAAGCAAAGCAAACCGGTGAAGAGTGAAGTACAGAAAGTTTAATATTTTGCATGAAAAACTTTTTTTAAGAAATTGTTTTTTTTCAAGAAAGTAATAAATATTATAAATATTCTTATTCCCATGAAATCGCTTAGTTTTGTTTGTTATCGATACATTTCGTGTAATGAAACGGTATTTTATGTAATTGACAGCAATGTTAAAGGGAAATCATACTTCATAGTTTTAAGTAAAAGACGCGATTAAATGGTTTGTGATATTATTATTTCTAAAGCTAAGATGGACTTCTCAGTTCCACAGGTTTGTATTATAGTGCAGAAAATATGTTCGCGTTTTTATTTTTCACAAATTAAATTGTACAAAAATACGACTTCCTAACGTGCTGTTTTGACCTTAATTCAGAAATAGCCATGGGCAAACGTCTCTCTGTGTATTTCTCAGCCTCGGTGAAAAACAAAACCAGTTTAAACCAGTTCTAACAAACGTTCCCAGCAAGCTTAGCTTTCTGCTTACTGGCAAGACAAAGACGTCTAAACCAGTCCGTCAAGTTTGATGCTTGCTGCTGGTGGTCTCATACCACCTGCAACGTCATTGCAAGATGTAATAAAGTTAACGTCACCAAATTGTGTTACCAATGAATTAAAGCTTTTGTTTTTTTTTTTGTTTTAAGTTTACTTGAGATTTACATATTTGTTTGCAAGAGAAACCTGGAATTTGCAAAAGAAAGCAGATTTATATATTGGTAAAGACCATTATGTTATGTTGGCCAGATAAACCATTTCTTGATTTAACATTATGACACACCCCTGTTCATTCAAAAGAATATCATATGACCTCTCATCTACATTATGGACAAGATCTATTTTTTAGCATTCCATCTGAAACCTATGCCTTGCTGAGGCATGAGTTTAGATTTTGTAGTCCAGATGGAAGAGTGTATCCTACTGGACCACAAAAAACAATCCAGCTGTTACCTGAAGGTTTTCAAATAAAGCATTCAATTTTTCCACACAGTCTTGTGTATTGCTTAAGTTATGACAAGATCAAGCATCGGGGTAGTCTAGTTGATGGCAAAATGTCCACATAGACACTTTTTCAGGTATGGTATAATGGGAAACATTCTATTTTAGGACACTGTCTAGGTGGTGTTTGAAGCAAAACATAAAACGAATAAACACCATTCCCAATTCTTGAATGCATTTTAATATTGAGGTGTTGACACATTTTGTATTGTGTTTAAGATAAAACTGAATTGCCTTAAATTTACCATGTAAGTCAAAAGTTCCAGAATTATGAAATTATCTGAAGACAACTCCAGTCATATTTCCAAACTTTAGATGAAAATAAGGAGAGAACAGGTGTAGAATCAGAATCTTAAGGCTTGCAAACTTGTCCTTACTTGTTTGCCTTTCTGTTCCAAACACACAATCTGTGAAGAATTTCCAAAAAGGTAGACAGTATTGAACGCAGTGAAGTACATACAGTATCTGTTTTTGCTTAGGTACAAGTACCTAGGCAAAATTCACTATGATGTGATGAGAAACCCTAGCAGACAATGTCACCAAAACATTGATCATTACATCATAACTTTTATAGATGACCAGATTCAATTTATTTGTCTGATGCTTTTATCCAAAACAACTTAATTTTGCACAAATTTATATAAGCTGTTCCTTACTGGAACAATTTGGGTGAAGTAGAGCTACTGCCAAACTTACACTACTGCTCCAAACTGCTGTCCACATTGTAAACAGGAAGGATTGCATTGGGTATGGTAACTCACGTTTTGTTTTATTTAGCATGTTGCTGCTGCAGAGAGCCAATAACTTGTAGACACGGAAACACAGGTCTAAAGCTGCGTTCTGCCTGAAAGAAAACTGACATCTGATTTAATTAAAACAATAAAATAAATGTCAAGCAGCAAACCATTTGAAAAAAAAAAAGTTATCTAGTCAACAATACACACTGCTTTTTTGTGCATTTACATTCACATCACCAAGTTATTAAAACACGACCAAAAGTATTGTATTTTAAAATGTAGGTTTCCCCTGCCATTTCAGACATTTTTGTCTAAAAATGGTTTAAGTAATAGGTTTATTCCAAGCTCTCTTTGGGTGTCTCCACAGCCGAAACATCATGTTTCTCTTCTTCTCTTTTCAGCGTGGAATAAACCTATTACTTGTTCCTTTGCAGCAGATGCATGCTGACACAGGTACCCACCTAAAAATGGTATAGATTGTCTGGTGATTAGCCATTTTTAGATTTCTAAATGAAAGTGAACTTTTTATTAGTTCTAAAAAACCTTGCATATTAACAGTTAATGTCACACATAAGTAAACTACAACTGGAAATTACAAGTCATTTTAAGTAAAAAAAAAACTGTAAAAATATACATAGTGTATGACTCCTTTTGACTTATTTTTCATTTTATTAATTCTGAAATAAGGCCTCTGCTTCCCTGCACGATGAAGCCAGAGAAATTTCTACAGTAATATACTGTATATTTATCATGAGTTACAGAAAACAAAACAGGTAGACAGTAAGAAAGAATTTTCTTTGATGTAGTATTACATAAATAGTTTCCTCAAACTTGAATCTGTATCCCATTGACTGTGTGATGTAACAGCAGATTGAAAATGATCTTATGATGCAGACTCTAAATGTGCCATATCTTACCCTCACAAATAAGATCATTTGTCTCCTGAAACTATAAATTGGCTATTGACACTGTCCAGTGGAACACCTGCAACTGTTTCTTCATTGGCAGGTGTGACTCTTAGTTTCCCACCTGATTACCTTCCTTTTAATGTTAATTTTCATCGAGATTTTAATTGACCCATTTCCCACTTTCAGTTAAAAGTATTTATCCAATTTAAAGATGATTTATTAATTGTAATGATTTTAAACATTGTACTTGTGATAACAGTTGACCACATACACCGTCATTCAGTTGAAAAAATATATTGTTGAATGTCCTATTTAATTGCTGGTGAAAATAAACCTGAAACCATAACAAATGCACCTGTAGGCTACTGTACATCGTCAAACTGCAGGACTGATATGCAAATTAAATATACTGGGATTAATGATCAGCATCACCTGCAAACTTGAGGTGGCAAAATATTGATGAGTCAAAACATTGCTGTGCATGTGATGTTAAAAAATGGCTTAATATTGCGATTAGCAAAGTATAAGTGTTTATACCTGTAAAAGAGAACTGGCATAAGTTTAAAGGTATCCCATGGACTGAAATAACTGAAAATAAAGACTGTTAGCCAACCACAGCACACATGTAAACCATATTTTTGTGATGCTTCAGTGAGTCAAGTGTTTAATCATGCCCTATTAAAATTCTTTCTTCATTCTTTGATTTCCTGTCTCCTGTTGACATACAGTAGCTGTACGTTTTATATTGACAATGTTATCCTTCAAATTCTTATTTATTTTTATGAAACATTAATTCAATGCAAATTACTTAGCAATTAAAAACCCAAAGTCCTTCAAGTTAAGAGTCTAGAGCCCTAACCCTACTCCACACGTCTGTTGTCATCTAAGTTTTTGCAGTGATTTTAAAAAGATGAACGATTTATCATTATCAGCAGCAGTTGCGAACAGTACTCCCAAAGAGGTTTTGTAGTTCTCCTTTAAAATATAAATTTCCAATGTTGTGAATTTGTTCAATTAAGCAATAAAGAGTAAATCACACAAATTCCTGAGCTGTACCTATCATGCTCTAGATCTAGCGATTGATCACACAATTGCAGAAATGTGTGCTAAATTTAATCTGCTAAATAGGTGAAAACCTAAATTTACTATTAGTTTCCCTTAATGGTTAATTTCTAAAGATAGAGGGCAGATGGCCTGACATAACATAGTTCTTTACAAAAGCCCTCGTATAAAGATATTTCTGGGAAAACAGAAAGAATCCATGGAAGAGGAGGTGTTTTTAGAGTTGTAGGTGGCCTGTGAGAAATAAAGTATTGATTACAGAAATGGTCTAGTTTACCGTGGTTAATTAAGTTCTTGGTAAATCACTAAGAGTCAGCAACAATCCAGGAAACAGGATAAAAAGACAGGTAGGCAGAGAGAAGGAAAAAGAGGAGGCAGGAAACAGAGGAGAGGACACAGAAGAACGGTGTCAGGTGGGCCCTTGTTCGGATCAGTCTTTAAGACCAGATTCGAGGTAAGTATTTGTACCTTGTTGAGAGAGCTTGCTCTTCTGTTATCAGTTAGGAAACTGATTTCCTTTGTAGGTTAAAAAGGTCTCTCTCTCAATGCATTTTTTTAGAATAGAGATATAGGTTTCCCATTCACTTTTAACTCTAGGTTGTAATCTGTTTTGTTTAAGAAGGCAGGTTTATCTCTCTTTTTTTCCTGTTAGGCATAGTATAGGATTTTAAATACTCGATAGTTTTCTGGGGGTTTTCTGGTTGGTCAGGACATAGGCCTTTGAGATGCCTCGTTTGTATGTTGCATGTGTGTTGCTAGTTTATGTAGAGTCACTATTAAGAAATATTTGTTTATTTTGTTATTTGAAATATTAAGATATTAATATTAAGAGATATTTGTTTATTTTTGTTATTTGTCTCAATTTGCCTATTATTTATCATCCCCTGGCTGTGCCAAAGCTGTGCCAGACAACAAAGTTCTCAAGTGCTTCTAATTATACCAACTGCTCGGGAATATTCTTGGCTTAATCTTTACAATTTGGGGGGTATTATTATTTATTTTAAGTTGATTAATCTCCTCAGTATTGTCTGTAATTTTATATATTCTTAACCCCCTAATTATAACAATGTAAACCTGCTTAAAAATATGTATAGTTAAATACTTTGTTTTCTCCTTTTTGAGTGGGAGCCAATTTCAGAAGGTACAGTATGTGGAGAATGTCTAAAGCAATAACTAGCATGGAAAAATGTATAGTAGAAACACCATGTAAGAATAACACAAGAATCGGCAGAATGTCCATTCATCCACTTTTTTAACTGCTTAATTCATTATCGGGTAGTGGGAGAGCTGCAGCCCTTCCCAGCAAGCAATGGGCTCAAGGCATGATACACCCTTGACTGAATGCCAGTCTATCGCTGGTAACACACAGACATTAACACATGTACAGTCACACCAGGGCCAATTTTCCCAAAAGCCATATAACCAACAAGTACTGTATGTCTATGGACTGTGGGATGAAACCGGAGCACCCGGAAGAAACCCACATGAGGACAGAGAGAACATACAAACTCCATGCAGAAATGGCACTCGGGGCCTTAGCTTCGTAAGGCAGCAATGTAAACCACTGTGCCACTGTGACACCCAGTAGAATATGTATACAAAAATTCAATAACTGAAATTTGTACTGCTTTAAGACAAGAGTCTTCTTTCATCTGTTGATGATTGCTTAGTTGTTTAGAAAACAATCCTGTATGTTAATGAATATATTGATTATACAACAATATATATAGTATATAAATACTGTAAAAGAAAGAATGTACAGTAAATGAAGAGTAAAGTGTGTTAGATGACATTTATTTTACCACTTAAAACCATCATATTCAAATCAACTACTAAACTGAATCTCTGAAGTGAGAACTGGGACACTATATAACACTAAACGACAATCACAGTCAAATGAAAACCACCATTTTCAAAACACAGGGACTGCAAAGCATATTGCTGGACACGGACTGTAACACTGTCTGCTGAATGTAGCAAACATATATTCTAATGTTCCATATACCTCTGCATTGCTTTAGCTGCAAAAAGAAAGCTATGGTTCTTCTTCAAAGTGTGGCACTGACAAAGGTTGTGAAGCCTGTCAATGAATACTTTCCCTTTTTTTAGTTTAGTCCCTTATCTTCTATTTCCAACTCCACAGACCCTTCCTGAAGCCCTATCTCGTCATTCAAAACTGTTTTTGAATGTCCACATTTCTTCATTTTTCACTGTTATTTCCTCGCCTTCTCAAGTCTCGCGAAAATCAAAATTCATAACAGGAGAAACGTTTTTTGTGACCCAGAGGAATGCTTATGTTTTGTCTGAGGTAAGAATTTATATAAGGTGCAAAAATCATAGACCACAAATTGTTGATTACACTAACAGTCATTTGATATTTGTTAGCAATTAATAGAAATTAATAGAAAGCTGCATATTGTATAAAAGTAAGCACAGATTAACTGAAAGAGAAAGGAAACAGATTTGTTGTATTTTCACAACCCCCTCAGGTCCTGTGTGTTGGTTGAGTCAATGGAAGAGAGCCTAGAATCTTTATAACGTTTACAAGTTTTTAGTCGCCTTTGGTATTATGTGATTTTCTTTAGTTTTGTTTTTTATGATGAAATAGCAACAACAAAAAACAATCCCTGTTGACAAGCGCTTGGATTCAGATGGTATAAAGTGCACACTGGCTCATTTAAGCATGAAAGCTGTGTTTTATGACAAAAGAAAAGCAATTTCTAGCTCTAAGATGTGAATGATTGTGGAGTTATGCAGTCTCATAAAAAATAAACAAATATGAATTACATTTTTGTAGTGTTTTTCATTATGTTGCTCTTTGGAAGCAGTTCCTGTATTAAATAGTGAAGTTGTACATACTGTATCACCATCTGTGAGGAATTTGATAAATAATTAGCATATACTGTAGAAATGCTTTGGGATATTTTACTGTAGAGAAACCAAATGTACTTCACTTGTTCATTGTAAAATAAAACAAGAAACTGCATATAGGCTCAATAGTGGGTACAATTTGAGGTAAGAAGGTAACTCTTTACAAAATACAAGGTTGGTATTTAGAAAAGTAGATATAGTCTTGGCTTTTAAGACAATAAGTTAATTGGCTAATTACAAATAAGACTCACTAAATATTTCAAAAGGACTGATGCCATTTTCTATCTTCAGACACCTCTGATGTTTATAGATGAACTTAATTGATTAGTGATTGGAGTAAAGTATGAAGAGTATAAACTGTAGTTTCGTCTAATACCTCCTGTTTTCCGTTTTGATTTAATCTACAGTAAATTAACTTTGGTCTGACAGACTGTGATTCTCCTGAATCAGTACAAGTTCTGCATTGCAGGTTTCTTCTAGGAT